TCTAGAACGTTTTTATTCCACATATTTCACTAGAATACTAGCTGGTTTTGTTTTCAAGCCCTTTCGTCCAGCCACATTACATTTTGAAGGCAGCGTAGGCGGAAAACAAGGTTGGCGAGCTTTTTGCGTAGAACGACAGAGGAACTCCACCTAAACAGAGGCATTACTTATCAAAGAGATGAGGCTGGATCACTTTTAGATTTGGATAATCCTAACCTTATTGTTCCATGCTTTTTTTCTCGTAGGAGGGAGGAATCTTTCGTCAGTATAAAGCATGTAATGTCCCCCAGGATAACTACATATTGTTTTACAATACAAAAACGCTTTCTTGTCGACACCCGTCAATAGCCTAAAGAAAAATTCTAAAAGAAGTCTGGAAGGCCTACTTCGCTCGCATACGCACTGAAACTTACATGGAATATGAAACCAACTTTCTTTGGAAATTTCTACTAGAAGAAACTTAAGCTAATAAACGCAATTGTACTTTATTAGGCTCCCTAAGAGAAACCGACAAGGAATTATCGCCCAACTGCCCTCACTCGACTACCTTACTTTAAAACTATGAAATCAGATGTTCAGATTAATTACTTCTCTGAAAACTTGAAGGAAATCATAAGGTACCGCTGATTTTTGAATATGAAATAAGTATTAAATAAATGAGTGGAGGGAACTGCGTCTTCTAAAATGTAGCAAGCCAGGTACAGCTTTTACTTTATGGTTTAAACTTTACGCAGTGGCCGTCTTCTGCAGCTCTGATCCTCTACTGATGGTAAATATACTTGTGTCTATCTATATTAGCTGCCTAGTTCCAGCATGACTTATTCGAAGACAGCTGAGGCTTTGTGGAAGGAGATCTACAGTCGAGTCGCTATGTTTTCCAGAGCTGCCCTATTTCGGATCCTTTCGCTGAGACAGGAGCCTGGATCTGACCCGCAGAAAGTACGCTGCGGCCATGGCCTGCTCACCGATGCAGGTAACTACGGTATCTCTGGCTCCTTTGCATTTAACCGAGAAAATCTTTCGCCTTTTACTAAAGATTTCCGTGCAAAGGTACATTTTATGAGTATCAAGTAATTTTTGGAATCCCCTCGAAAGAGCGGGATGCTTGTGTGGAAAGCAAAGTTTGGTAGAAGAATAGTCGCTGCAGGTACGCATGCCATATGTGAGGTAAATATATGTTTGAGGATTACGCTAGCAGTCATCAAAAGCTCGATCTTGGATGTCGGATAGGGAACCAACCAATCATTCCCAACTCATCAATCAAATTCGAGTTGTTCCTTTCCGGACTCAGTGGGATTAACTAGAACCCTTACACCAAGGACCCTTCAGCTTCTTTTCCTGCTATCCGTAGTTTAGTGCAACATCGCAACATCTAGAACAGCTTTAATTCCGTTGCATAAAACGCTTCCATTCCACTAGTGCAGACCCAATCTCCTCTACATATCGCTCTGTTCAGCCTCAAGGCATGGAAGCAGAAACTCACCCTATCTGCGAGTATTCAGGTGAAGTCCACGTCTCGAGTTTCCGAGACTATTCTACAGCCCACTTTTCGCAGGACTCAGTGAACTCCACTCTCAAATCTGAGAGGGATTTGTCAGGTGCGTATCCTCTGAATACCCCAAAGGCGTGCCCCTGACCCAGGTGCATATCTGGAGGATACACTCAGCCCACATGTACAAAAGAATAAAAAAATTGCGCCGAATTTCTCTCAAGAGCTTTTTTTATGAGTAGGGCTACTGTAAAGTAAAATATAGTATCATGTTCTACTCTTCATAAGTAGAAACTGGACCAAGAAGTTGTTTTGCAGTAGTTCCGGCCTATTTACACACATACAGAGTTTAAGAAAAATCTGTCACGATTGTTCTACTAATTTCTTCCTTTGACATGACCCTTTCGAGAAAATCTCTGCTTCTCCTTTCCTTGACTAACGAATTCTACAATTTCAGAACTAGAGCACATTTCTCAAGCACTGTATACGTTGATTTCATCTATCGCATGCATTATCACTCCAACAGTCATCCTCTCCCTATAATGTTGCTTTACACCCGAGCATCCCGCTCTTTCAAGGGGATTCCAAAAATTATTTGATACTCATAAAATGCATCTTTGCACGGAAATCTTTAGTAAAAGGCGAAAGATTTTCTCGGTTAAATGCAAAGGAGCCAGAGATGCCGTAGTTACATGTGCCGGTGAGCGCTCCGCGGCCGCAGCGTATTTTCTGCAGGTCATGTCGAGGTACCTGTCTCTACTAAAAGGTTCGCGATAGGGTAGCCTCCTAATTCATTCCTGCTCTAGATGGTCGGATACTCATATGATTATGATAAGTTTTAAATATTACAAAGGAACAACACATAGGCTTTTGTGACTGAAAAACTTTATAACGCACTTTGCGGCAATGCGCCGTATTATGAGGCTGTTGACGAAACTTGCGAGTAACAAGGCAAAAAAAGAACTTTGAAACAAAAAATTCCTTCTATATTGCAGCATTTTTGAAAGTGTCGATCCGAATTTAATGGATGAGCCACACCTCTGCAGCTCTGTAGCTTTGGGCTCCTCCTACCAAGGGTTATGTTCATCTATGATTGATTATAGTTTGCTATTGTTTATCTGGTGAAAGAAGGAGAAATTTTGGAAATAATCCTTAGCGGCAGTACGAAAATTCTGGGACGTTCGATTTTTAGAAAGTTAAGGGATCAAGCTAGAATCCGCCAGTCTCTTGCGCCTAATAACTTTTTCTCATTTCCTTTCAACTGCCACTTGATCACCTCATATCAATAAAGCATATAAGATTTAGAATTGGGCTGACCCATTTGATTATATATAATAAATAGAAAATGCTCGTAAAAATGCAGTCGCTTACTGGCCAACCTAACAGTAAACTCTGATAGTAACAGCAATCCAAACACTTTGAAAATACGCCAGCATAGGTCCCCCATTATTTTACGATTGCTGCTTATCTCTCCGTACGTAGTTAACCGACTACATAGTAATGTTGAAGACCTATGAAGGTTCTTCATACAAATGAGCATCGCAGCTTTGCAAATTGTCCATAAACCACTCGGAGTAAATATCCGATCATCTAGAGCTGGAATAAACTAGGCTGTAGATGTCTTATTTCGTGGTTGGTCTATTCGCGGGCATAGTTATTTATGCCTGACCAGCAAAAGGTACGCTGCGAAGATAGGGAGGTCACCCGCCCAGGTAATTGGAGTATCTCTGGCTCCTTTGCATTTAACCGAGAAAATCTTTCGCCTTTTACTAAAGATTTCCGTGCAAAGGTGCGTTTTATGAGTATCAGAAAATTTTTGGAATCCCCTCGAAAGAGCGGGAAGCTATAACAATTCAGGTGATCCAACGCGAGTTCTTCAGACCATTATGAGATTTTGACCTTCAGAGCCCCATTTCCAAAGAGTTAAATTTTGAACACATTAGGACTCCTGTTTCTCAAAAAAGTTTTTATCTCAGTAGCTCATCGGAAAGGCTAGCACTCGAACATTATGAACATTCGATGACCATGCGCTAAAGATTTTAAACTAGATTTCTTTAAACAGGCATTTTTTCTCCATTTCCTCCTTTCCTTTCTCTTTCTCTTTCTTTTCCTTTTATTCTTTTCCTCGTTTTCCTAGTAAACGAACGAAGTCACAAGTGAAAATAATGTTCAGGTCTAAATGATAGTAAAAAGATTCCGAAAAAAAAAACATCTAAATTAATTTTCGGGGTCAAAAAGTATTGCAAGAAGCATGGAAACAGTGCCATTTCTATATCAAAATGCGCAATCCCCGATCATTTCGACGTGATCTATGACGTTCTGTAAAGCAATTATTTATTGTTTTACAGAACATCTTAGATGACCTCGAAAACTATCTTCAAACACGATTTTTTTTCTTCGTTTCCCCTAGAATGCGCTTAGCGAGAATTAGCTTACTTTGTTGTATTTCTACTTGTGATTTCTATCGTAGCAAGCTATTCACAGTTGCATGCGCTTTAAGAAACTAGTTGTCGTACCTATGTGCTTTTCTTCCGACAGTAACTAAAGGCGCAAGAAAAGGTGCGGAGATAGGTGCGGGTGGGTAGCGTCCGTTCCCCACGGGTTTGGCACTTTATTTCAGGCAAATGGCATTATGTGTACCGGGTACTTCTCTCAATGCCGTTTTATCTGCGCACATAGTCTCAAGAGATTACTTGTTTTCGATGTAGGCCTACCACAAAACTGTACTGTCACTCCACGCAGAACTGTTTTCGCTTAGGTAACAAAAACAGAAAAGAATTTATAATAGTGATATTCTGAACTGCTGCCTTTCAAAAACTGCTGCACTGAAAAAAAAGAACAGACATTTTATGCTTAGAGGCAGCACCCAGCTAAAAATGGATTGCGAGATTCTGGTAGTTTATGAACTTTTGTGGCCGAATAGCCAAAAGCCAGAGTCAGAGCACCGGTAAGCCACTCGTTGCCGTGAAAACGGCTGAAACGTCGGTGCACCGAAGGGCGTGAGGGCGAGTTGTCTTGTCAGTGTGTTTTGCACGCTGGCTAAAGTGAATATAATCATGAGCGCATTTGCATGAGCCTTCCATGTCTACGCGCTTAAGGCGATGAGCGAGTCCAGTGGAAGTTGCGCGACGTAGTGGAAAACTCGTCCGCGGAATCATGGACGAATCTTCTGGGACGATTTTCTCGGTCAGGAATGATTTCTGAGCCGAGAAATTTGAAACTCAACCATTTTCTGAGCTTCTCTTTCAAAATCCATCGAAAACTCTGGAAGTCTTACATTCTGAGCGTGGGTGCTGCCTTTAAATTCGTCAGGAGTTCACCTGCATATGTTCACATTGGCTGCCCAGCAGAATTCATCCGAAAGCAAACTGAAGCTCTGTGAAATGAGAATCACAGTAAAGTCGGTATGTCTTCCAGAGGTGATCTTATTCCAAACCTTTTCGCCGAGGCAGGTACTTCGTCCTGACCCGCACAAGGTACGCTGCGGCCACAGAACGCTCACCCATGCAGGTAATTCCTGTATCTCTGGCTCCTTTGCATTTAACCGAGAAAATCTTTCGCCTTTTACTAAAGATTTCCGGCAGAGGTGCATTTTATGAATATCAAATAATTTTTGGAATCCCCTCGAGAGAGCGGGATACGTGAGTGTAGAAAGCAAAGTTTAAGGAAATGGTGATCGCTGTAGGTACGCGTGCCATATGTAAGGTAAATATATACCGAGTTTGACGACTATGCTAGAAGCTCCAGGTTGATATATTTGTTAAAGAAAAGAAGAAAAAACGACTTTTTGCAGGGTGTCTATCAGAAGAAATCATTTCTTGGTTCGACGCGTTGTTTTATTGCGAATACGATTTCTTTTCTGACAACTGTGAGGTATCTTCTAGAGGTTGTAAAAACTGCACTTTCCATAAAAGCACTCGTTTATCACAGTATAAATCATTGCCTAGACTGGGACATTACATACAAAGACTTTACAACGCAGGGAACCGAGTAGGCTCAATAGAGAAGCTAGTAATTTAGTGGGTTTGCAATCAGTCCTAACTCGTTAACCCAAGTGCGAATCGATCCATTCCGAACTCAGTGAGATGGATCAGAACCCTTGCACCAAGGGGCTGACACCTTCTTTTTGTGCTATGTGCAGTTCAGTGCAATATCTGGAGTTTTCCCAAATCTGCTGCATAAACGCTTCTATTCCACAAACCGCAATTCAGGCAGGCTGTGTCTCTGTGCATCCGATACCGCTCCATTTAGCCTCATAGCAGGGGACCATAAACTGGCCTTATCCGAGTATTCAGGTGAAGCCCCGTCTCGAGTTTCCGAGACTATTCTACAGCCTGTCTGTCGCAGGGATGAGTGAACTCCACTCCCAAACCCGAGAGGGATTTGTCAGGTGCCTATCTTCTAAATACC